TGTTAACACAAAATTTGATATAACTCATTAAATTTTTTTCGAGAGGTATTGTCATGATATACTTCAAGCACAGATTTTACAAATGTATTCAAAAACCTTTGCATTCAAAGTGGGGGTTAATATTAGAGTCGACCAATATGGATATTTTGGCTATCGCCAGTACCAATATTGGGAGGAGAAGGATAATGCTGATAACCCATACTGTATAATGGCTGAAAATTTTTGAGTATTGTCCATCCCCAAGAATCTAAATAAAGTTAGTGGAGTGGGGCTTGTTTATTTAGCGCATCTGTTGGCAACCATGAAGCTAAGCAAATCAGATTCACGCTATACGTAGTCCCACTCTAGGTTTACAAGTAGTCACTGGTCATAAAAACAGTCTTCCTAACATGCGTTCACATTTTCTATCCTCCATTATTTATTCACTATAAAGTTATCAAGTGTGTTACATAAATATAAATTAAACAAAGAAACACCCTTCCTTGTTCATTGTTTGATCTGTCAGTCATGTATGGGGAAGCCCTAATAGCATTGAATGCTGCAGAGTTTATTTTTCTTTGCAGAGAAGTTAAGGTTTCAGACTAACATTTCATTGAGGACGACAAAGATAACGTTACTAACACTGATATATTTTACCGCTACATTAGATTTATTGTTCTGAATAAAGATTTACAAGGCAATAGCCTATGCTAGGTTATCTAAACTAGCTTGCTAACTTGAGATGCACGTAGCTAATGACAAGTGCATTGGAGGATTGAAGAAAATGTACTGTATTATTTTAGATTTTTCTTTTACAGATCAATTAAAATTAATTTACCATGCGTTGTTCAGCAAAAATACAGTATACAATATTGCTTGCTGCTTCATCTGTGCTGGAAGTGAAACTTAAGGTGAACGACCATGACCTGAAAGTTGTCCGCATTCGCCTTCTGCTGTAAAATTACATCTGGTTCCCGCATTTTAGGGGTAAAACTTATAAGTGTTTATATTGACGCATAATGGGACAATTATCACCAATATCTATAGGTCCCCAAATGCCTATATTGGCCTAAAATATCAAACCTACCAATATATCAGTCAGGCTCTAGTTGATATGCATTCCTTAAAGAAAAGCCAACTTCATTTATTATAAGTTTAACTCTGGTCACTTTTTACAAGAATGTTATCGCCCCATTTTTTTCAGTGATTTTATTTTTCAAAAGTAAGATTACATTTTGATGTGACTGCAATTCATGCTGCCCATTATGCTCACAGAAACTGAGTTTCAGATAAGAGCTTGACAAATTTCACATGTAGCCTTAATGGTGTCATCCTTTATACCATACCACTTTCCTCCCCATTCTTATTTCCCTTCTGTATTCCTCTGTCTGTCTTGCAAAGATTAGGTGATAGTGAGCAGTCATTGTTTTAGCAGGGGTCTTTTAGAGCATTGTTTAAAGGCCGTCACAGCTCACCTATGAGGGAGTAGATGCTTATTTCATTCATTTAAAGTCTAAAATGGTACACATCATGAATCCAATTTTCTCCGCCTTTTCTCTCTAAAGGCAGGGATTAAAGCAGAGCTGTCAGCTTTCACACCAGATCTTAAGACAGCCCGCAGATATCCGTAATACTGTGCTCAGCTCAGTTTTGATGCTATCTAGAATCTCCCCGCTTTTAATTTGGCATTAGGCTCTGTAAGCAAAATCACAAGCAGTTTCAATTAAATAGATAACCCAATGCTGTCGGTGTACAAAAACAACCTCTTCAAGCGGTAAAAGACCAATCATGGTTGCTAAAAAGAAATGAAGCAAGATAATAGTCTGGAGATAATTGTCTTTGAGTACTAGTAGAAGTGTGAGAAGCCTTTTATTTTGAGTGGAGTTTTGTTGCGCAAAGAAAAGTTTTTTGTTTTTGTTTTTGATAACTTTGTTCTGAGAAGCAACTTCTGCAGAAAACATTATTTCAGAGTTAACATTGTTTTATGCGTATAATGTACTCCTTTTGTTGTCTAATTACATAACAGGTTGTGAAAATAGAACCAGGTGTTTCATTTGGTTGCTCCCCTTGTTTTGTTGCTTAAACACCTCTGGCTTTTTGAGACATAAATATTGAACCGTTATCATGCAATTTATGGAACATGAACAACGGTACTGGATATTTGAGCTGTACAGGACATGGAGCATTACCAAGACCCAAAGGTTTGAAAGTCCAATAAAATCTTGACATTCTTTGTTATGGTCTTAGAGCCCTTGCTGTGTTTGTGGTGAGCGGGGGCACATGTGCATATTTGAGATGCCAAGATGGCGTGCGTTTAGCCTGAAGTAATTCTTAGGTGGCTTATTGATACCGAAGTAACAATTTTAATGCCAGTATCTAAATATCCCAACCAAATGTTGCATTGCATTGAAAGGATAAATGTTATTCACAATCTCTTTTTACCGTTTTCTCTTTGGTACCAAAATGATCTCGATTGATTTAGTTTATCTTCCTCCTTAATATCAACCTCCTAAATGCCGACAGTCTCCTAAAAATGCATTTTCTCATTACAGGAATCTCTGGTTTTAAAGTTCACTGAATTTAATTGGTGTTTTATAGGATAATATAAGGACAAAAGCCCCTTTAAAATAGAATCATTCCTCTCAGTCTCTCTTAGGGAAACTTGTGTCTCTCCAAAGTGTGGTCCTACAGTCTCCGGTGGCAGACTAATGGCAGCTTCTAGTAGGCTTATTTGAGTTTAATGTGGCATAATGAGGTTAGTAATTGGGTTTAGGTCAAGTTGTAAAACAGGTTTAGAGGAGACAAAGATGTGAAGATCATGTAAATGAGTGGTGTTAGATTGCTAAAGGCTCACAACTGTAGCTACTTAAAGACTTTGCGAAGCATATATTGTACAAGTGCACGCTATCTTCAGGTACAAATGGTTCCTCTAACCTTAATTCAGAATCGAACATCAATTAAAAAAACACTCGTACAAGTGCTAAGTGGTCTTTGGAGAAATAGTTCCACATTAATGCCATCTTTGCATCATTTTGTCACTCGCTTTTGTCTTTCTGGGTTTCACTCATTCTCTTTCCACATTGAAAATATCAAATCATGTGTCATATATAATTTAAGAGCTGAGAAGTTAATGAACATATTAAAAAACATTGCACATCCACAGCAACTTGGGGCCATTTAAAAAAAAATGTTAAAAGGCATGACTAATTAAAAAGGATATTTTAATTAGATTGAATTATAATACTTTTTTTTACCCTCCTTATTACCTTTGTGGCAGGGTTAAGATGAGAGGATGTTGAGATTAGATATTCTCACACTAATTAAGACTACAGATCCCCTGGGAAGAGAATAAGGGTTGGCTCATTTCGTCTTTCCGCACCCTCTCCACCCTCCTTCTTTCCCTCCTGCCTTACGACTGTGGCCCTGTGTCCCTCCCTCCCTCTCGTAGTGCTGGACCACGGGGACCTGGAGGAGAGACACAGCTGGGATTAAAATGAACGCGGGATGGGATGCGACATCCCTCCTTCACATCTCCTTTCCATTTTCTCTCATCTCCCATCCATTGCTCCCCATGGGGGCCTGAAGATGACACATTAACCTTTGAGGTTGTCAGCCCATGAGAGAAGAGAGATTCTCACATTAGGATTAACTTTATTCATCTAATTAAATACACGATCGTGCCAACGGACAAAACCATGTGATCTCCACAAGTGGAAGAGCTATGCTAGATTTTCATGGAAATTATTAGGCCTATTCAGCAACAATTTTTTTTATTGCGATGGCATCACTGTCACAACTGCACATCACTCAGTATAGGTCATCAGCTACTTGTTAATGAAGACATCAGTCCACTTCAGCAGCTACAGAGTTGTAACTTGAAACATGTTAAGGAATAAGGCTAACTTACGAATAAGCTTCAAGATGCACTAGCTTAGCTTCAACACCTTTGTCCTTATAATGTTGGAAAACAACCAGCTTTTTGTGGTGGCAAGTGCAAATAACTACAGTACAGCATTTGGAATTTCCTCAAATTTTGCATTTTAGATTCCTGTCTTGTTATGCTTTTTATTATTCTATTCTCCATAGAGATCACTTGGTACTCTGGGCTTTTTATTTTATTCTATGGTAGCAGAAATGCATGGGCAGTAGGAAATCATTAGGCTGCACTTTCTCCCTGAAGGAGTGACAGGGTGAGATGGTGTTCACAATGATGTTCACAGCCTCAAACACAAGCATCTAGAAGACAAAATCAGGACTTACTTTTGCGAACAAGAAAAAAAAAAAAAAAACATCCAATACTCAACAAGCTGTTTCATCTGCTCTTTCATTCCTCCTAATACTATGTACATAATCCCTAAATTAGACTGATCAATGTGCTAATCTTTCTTTGAGCCAAGAGATTTTTGATTTAGATTTCCTTAAAAGGAGAGTGCCTCTTATTCTAGATGGTGACTTCTTTGGTAGACTTATTTTTGTTTCATTGTCTGAGGACTGGGGGCCAGTGATCCGGTATTTTCAGATTGTGGCACCACTGGGTATGCATACAAAACTCCCCACCATCCTTCTCCTTTTCTCTCCCATGCCTGTGAGTCACTTCCATGCACTGTTTCGGGGTGGGGGTGGGGGGGGGGGATAAGACAAATAAACAAGATCTCTTTCCAGAGTTTATGTTCTCTAAGAGAACTAGATGTGTGTGGGGGGGTTGGCAGGCATGGGTGTGCTAGGGGAGTCTGTGGCCAGCAATTGAATATTGTTGCCCTTACCCAGAGAGATCTGTGTACACTACTTGCAAAGTCAAACAAATAGAACCAGGGTGCAGGTTTATGAGTGTTTGTGCGACTGCCCGTAAACCTCCCTGCCTGTCATCTTCAATCACTGTTCTGTTTCTGATCAGACCTCTTTTTCTCCCCCTCTCTCTCTTTCTCCACACGTTTGTTTCTGTGCAATGGCATTTGTTTGTGTGTTTTTCCCTTTTTTGTTGTTTTGTGTATATTCTTGTGTGTTCTCCATGCGAACGCCAGGCCTGGATCCCGAAAAGCACTTAGGGAAATCCCTTGCTGATATGGAACCCCTTCTGAAACAGGTCATACACTCGTAGATACCCTATTTAAATGTTGACTTTAGTACTTTTATACGTTTAAGGTTAACGTGACATAAATTTTTGTGCACAACTTTATGAAATTCAATTGTTTTATTTTCCCTGAGCAGCTCTTCAACAAGTTTGGAGTTCATATATGTGGTGAAGGAGGTGAATATGAAACCTTCACACTTGATTGTCCTCTGTTCAAAAAGAAGATAGTCATGTGAGTAATCTTTTTATTGTTGCACTTTTTTCCCCAACGTTGTTCAAAAATATATAAAAAAAAAAAATCCCATTTGGGCAGAGATGCAGCTGAGACAGTGATCCACTCAGCAGATGCTTTTGCTCCAGTTGGCTACCTGCGCTTCACCAAAATGCACACGGAGAGCAAACACGACGTGAGTCAGTCTTCCAGTTATATACCTCGCTTCACAAATAAGATCAGTGCTGTTCAATAATTTTGCAAACAAAAGTTTGACCCACTTTCAGGATGATTACTTTAAAACTGCTCTCAAGGCAACACGAAATACATAAACATAACCTCTAGGTGTCTGATAACTTTGTCGATGGGAGGAGAAACTCCTCTCTGCAGAGTGGTTCAGCTCCTGAAGGCCTTCCCAGCTCACTCAAACACAGTCTTGCCCTTAGTCTTTAATTTAATCCCTCCCTCTTGCTCCTCTAGCCCCACGTGGCCTAGTTTGACGTCTGCAATATTTGCTGCAGCCTGAAACTAGGCCTAGCTTAATAAACATGTCTGCTCACATTAGGGCACTTTGCATTCAGGTAGATGGCTAATAGGACACAAGCAAGGGTTGCAGGGAAGGAGCAGGATTTGGCTTTTGGCAAACTGGAGGCTGAATAAGACCTCACAAGTTATAAGAATGGCAGACATTTCACTTTGACCTGCAACGAAAGATAAGAATCCCTAAATTATTGAAAGAAAGAGAGAGAACCTATTTTGATAATTACTCTGTTTCAGATTGTTTAATTCAACTACATTTTTGAATTGTTTTCTATAATTGTGGTAAAGGTTTCACCAAGGAATCAACAAACATTTAAGCTGAAGTTTACTTTCTTTGCGTGCCTTACTGAAAATCATGCAGCATTATGGACATGTGCTTTTGTGCTTATGCACAGATGTACTGTACATCTGCATGTTAGATGGGGGATGGGAATGTTATGGACAGAAAAAATACCCCCATCCCACAACAACTGTGACCCTGCAGCCTGAGCCCCTTGAGCTTTAAATATTTTTCTACCACCCCCATCACACAGACATTGCATGCTCTTGCAACCCCCCTAGGTTGCTGAGAGAAGAGAAGGAAAAACCAGACCTTGCAAGAATGGGTGAGAGGAAGGGGGGGGGGGGGGGGGGGGGGGCAACCAGGGGAGAACCTGCCCTGGTTTAGCCTTCCGAAGCTCTTCTCGTCAGGGTGACAGATCCGCGGTGACACCAGCACTAGAGGAAACGGCACCAAGCTCAGGGGGTGGGGATGGACCACCATCATTTGCCCTCCGTTAATGCTAGTCAAGCTATTTTTCATGCTGGCCAGGAGAGAGAGGCTGGAGTATAATTAATTTGATTATCATATGGCCTAATGCGGCTGACAGGAGACGAGGGGGGTGAATGAGTGTCGGACAGTGTGAGAGAAGCATCGAGTAAATATGAAATATGTATTCACACGCTTGACACCCCAGCAAGATTTGGCAGGTAATATGTATGCCTTAGAGAATGGTAATGATTTGTTATTCAAAGATGTAGGAACGTACAAGTAAATAGGTGGGAAAAAGTGTTAAAATTTCAAAATATTTACCCATCTAGTCAGGAGTTTTGACTGACAGGCAGCATGATTGAATGTACAGTATCAGAAAACACCGCGTTCTACTCGCCTCAACCACGAATATGTTAGCATGTTGTTTCATATTCATTCACCTTGAAGTTGTGTGTGTCTGGGTCCTTGTCATGTAAGAATGACACACACACACATTCAGCTTACTTACCGTATTTGAAAAAGGTTGGCTAATTATACAACGTTTTGTCAGTCTTTGCAAAAGGCTTTGTGCTCTTTGGTGGGCATTTGGCCTCGTGAATTCCCTGTGGTGTTTTTTTGCAGGATGTGGTGGCGAGAGCTCTGCCCCATGGTAGTTGTCCTTGCCAGAGTGCCATTGACAAGATGACTGAAGAGGTGAAATATGCTGATCAAGCCGAAGACAACCAGCACAAATTTACATCAAGCTGTGACCTTAGTTGTCAGCGGGGCCACGGTGAGATTCATTTGTTGTGAGACTCGCACATGCAGACATGCATGCATGAGTGTGTATTTATGTCTGTGTGTGTCAGATGATATCTTTGTGTGGTCTGTGCTCTCTGGATCTGTGTCGTATGTGGCCTGCATCATAATGCTGCTGTTTGTGAATAACTGACAAGAGCTGTCATTTAAGGAGTGCATTTGTGACAGCCTCTGGATTAATTTCATTTCTGTCATAAATCACATATGCATGCCTTAGATTTTAAACTAGATATGTCTTGGCTATAAAACAGAAGAAACACATTCTGATTTTTTAATGCTTTGAAAGTTTTTACCAAGCATGGAACATAATTAATGAAGCATCATCCAGAATACTTGACAGATTCAATGACACTTGATAAACAAAACTTGTGTGACACATAATACATGATGCACAATATATAATACACAATACATAAAAAAAT